ATTGATCATGTCTATCTCGAGATCTATTGTTACTGATTTATTGTCCAGTCCTGAATTACAAGCAAATGTTTTTTCCCCCAGCCAACATGAATTGGGGCTAGTCTATTAAATTCATCAAAGTTTTATTCTGTAAAAGAATACAGAATAATTGTTGGCTGCTTTATCAACTATTTCTAGAATGTTTCAGCGATTTAAATTAAGACTGAGGACTCATCTGTAGTTTACATCTGTAAACTCATTTAACTTTCAAACTACATTTGACTTTGTAGCTAAATCTTAGTTAAATATGAATTAACATAAGAGGGATTTTTGTCTCTGGTTTTCCACAGCGTAAGAAAAACCATGCGCTATTGAACAAATATATTGCGTCTCGTGTTGAAGGAAAATGTGGGTTATAATTTAAGTAATGTTTTCTTACTTCATCTCTGAAAATGAAAAGACTTGGGTTGGAAAATCCAGAAATCTTCATTTTTCAGGGTAATTCAAGAAGAATTGGAGCTGCTTTAAGTCTTGCGTGGATTTTTTTGTACTACTTAAAGACAGTAACTTTTAGGTTTCTTATGCTGAAAGTTGTATTTAAGACTCCTTCCTCTACTTCATCTGTTCCATTAATGGGTATAAAGGTAGTCAAAAATAACTGAAAAAGTTTAAAACTCATCACTTTCCAAATACAATAACCTTAAAAAAAAAAAAAATTATGACTTCTTTTTTTGCCAAAAGATTTCTGGAAAAAAAAAATAATAATTTTGGCAAATAAATGACATGGGACATTTTTTAGCAAGGTGACAAACTGTTAAAAATCATTTCACGAGATCGGATCTGTGTAAAATACAAAAAGTGAAATTATACTGGAGATAAATAAATTGGCCAATGATGGAAGTCGGATGATTTTCACTTCATTGGTTATTTCCCAAACCTTTCGGATCAGTGAATGCACCACGCTCTAATTCACCGGTTCCCAGGAACCACGCAGAGACAACCAGGCCTCCAACCTCCTCCAACCTCCACTGCTCCTCAGGGGTGATCCCAGGCCAGCTGGGAAACGTAATCCCCCCTCGTCAGCCTGGTAGACCTCTAAATGACATGACGACTATTATTCAGCAATTCAGCTCCCCCATCGGACAGAGTTCATAATTCAGTCATAGTCTGATCTCTGATCCGGAGCGCCAGAGCAGAACGAACCTCTCCATGTCGAGGAAGTATTTTTAGATGAGTCTGCATCATGAATAGTCAAAGGCTGCAGCAATCTCAGAGATGCAGTCTGAGCACCGATGAAGCAGCAATGTTGACCGTGTGAGTTGGATCCGCCTGACCCAACTACATTTAATGAGTTTTCTACAATCTACAAAGAAATATACATAAAGACTGAGAAATTTGCTATGCATCCAGAATAATGGTAATTTAATTGAAATCAATGTCCTGGTGGAAGATTTAAGTGTCCAAACTCAAATAGGTTTCTCCCAATTTTAAGAAAATCAAATAATTTAGAGGCATTTCTCTTGGTTAAATATTCCCTTCACCTTGTGCTCAGCGCTTTGTAATTCATATTAAGGGTAGGCGATTCAGACTTTAAATCTTTTCGCTACATTATTTGTGAGTTTTACTATAATAATAAAACTGACATAAAAAGATATTTGCAACATTTTAGCAGACTTTGCATGCCACAACAATCATAGCCTCACAAAGAATGCTCTTTAAAAAACTGGGGACTTCAGGACAACAGTTGCACAGTGTGTCTGTATTTTATTATATTTCTGAATGTATTTAAACTCTTCGGGACATAATAGTCAATCTTAATAAGAAATCTTTCTTGATATACAACTTCTTTCATCATAAATGCTCATCCCTACTTGATATTGTGTACTGAGGTTTGTCAAGAACTCCAACCGTACTGCAGGGTGTCATGGCTGAATAAATCCAGCCTTTTCTCTGTTTTAACAGTTTCCTTTAATCCAAAGCCTACAGTTTGGTTACATAGTTTAACATGGGACACAATTTGGTGTTCCAACAGAACAATGACAAGAAACAAATGAAAATGGGTTTTGGAACGGATAAATCAGGACATATCAGGCTCCTGGAATAGTCTTACTAAAGCCCCAAACTAAATCCTATTTAAAATTCCTGGAATATGCTGAAAAGCCGCATCCGTCCCCAGAAACGGATGAATTTAATCAAGTCCAACTCTTCTGATTCTGACTAGAGGAGTGGACTGAATTATACCAGAACCTTGAAATCATTGATAAATAATGTACTTGTTATAAGTACAACTTGCTACAGGAAGTTCAACCAAACATTAGAAAGGCTGATGTTCACATTTGAGCCTGTTCTCATTTTTGACTCAATGTGAATAGGAGAAAGTCTTGTTTAAAAATCACTAAAACGGTTTGTTGTTTCATTTCATCCAGGAAAAAATAAACAAACACAAAAGGCAAACACTAAAATTGAGAGTCACACCCCTGAAGTTTGTGTGTAAACTTCTGCTCTATAGGTAACATGAAGCATGAAAATTTGGAAGCACTGCTGCGATGGGAGGGGAGCTGGAATGTATTTCTATGCATACTAAAGCACCATAGGAACCGGATTAGGAGCTTTGTTTCACAGTTATTGGATTTTGGCTCAGCAGGACAGGAATTGTTCCAATACAGAGGGGAGAGGAAAAAAAACAAACAAAAAAAAAAACACAGAACCATTCTTGCATATGTGGAAAAAACTCGACCCAGCATGCAAACATACAACACATTTGAGCTTTTTAGAGGAGCTTCATATCCTCACAGCCGCTGCCAGCGACTGTCAGTGATCCTGGATGTGAAGAGAATGAATCACTGAGGAGCCAAGGCTTTTCACTCCTTTTACTTCACAAACACTTTAAATCCGCCAGCACATTCAAATTTAATGTGGTGTTTCTGAACTGAAACAAACCAAATTTCTTTTAATTTTTAAAGACTATTGGAGCAGACGAGGCAGGAAATGAAGAGGGGAAAGGAAACGAGCCGATGTGCAACAATGACCACGATATTGTATATTCTTGGTACATTTCCTCATTAGATTTATGTATTATTTAGATGTACTATGATAAAAAAAAGTTTTATATTTATACAGTTAATTAAAAAGTTGGTTTCTTAATACACAGTTTCACTTTAAAATCCTTTGTAAGATATTTTATTTGCATCTATATGCAGTGATGAGTAATGCTGAATGAAAAACGACATGATGTCCTCTCAATCATAAGAAATTAATCAAGAAATAAAAGTAATATATCAGAAATATTTCCAATTTGGTAAAATCTGAGTCACTCAGAAGCAGATTGCCTGACTAATTAACCAGCTATTGTCAGCTTATTCTACATAAGCTTTTTTATTTTGCTTTGAAAAGCAAAATAAAAAAGAATATTGTAAGAATGAAGTAGCTTTACTTTAAGAGTGTATTAAGACTTACTGAGTGTTTATTCTGAATTTTTCTAATGTATTAAAATAAAGTAAAAATCACTATTTTTAACCCTCAAATTGTAGCAATCCATATTTTTCGTCTGCAGTAGGAATAGTTATTGCCTTTAAGAAATTAATGAGTATTTCTTGCATTTCCGTTTATTCTTTCTTTATAAATTAAAATGCAGTGAGAATTTAATTCCAGTCTATTAATACTTGCTATTAGAGCAAAGGCAAAGCAAAGGATTATAACTCAATGCTTGCTTAAATTAAAGCCCCTTTTTTTCTCCCCACAGTATTTACCACCTTAAATCCCTTAAAAATTAACTTAGATAAGATTGTTTATGCTTTGTAACTTCCTAGATGCTAAATGGCAAAGTCCAGGATTCATGTAAGTGATCTGATATAATCATTAAATATGATTAATATTTAAGGTTAGCTGATTTTATTTAAAATCTACACAAAACAAGACAGATTTTCAACAGATTTTTTTTCCCAACAGAATTTAAAATCTGTTTGCAAAGAAAATACCAACTCATGTTATGTAACTTGAAGCCAACAGGAAGTGAAAACTTTAGAGTTTAAACTGGGAGATGACTGAATTTGAAACCAGAAAATATTCAAACAGTGAAACCCATTCTGCACCCTCTATACTTGTGATTCAAGAGGATTACCAGAAGTGCTTCCCCCTTATCGTAGCCGTTTTCTAGATTCCAGCCTTGGTACCCTGATTTATCGCCACAGTGGAAACAGTTGAGAAGTTTGGCCCCAGAAAACAACCCCGCTTCCTGGAATAGGTTCCCACAGCTGCAGTGAACATACCATAAACGATGGTGCATTTTTACTGTAGAAACAATGAGTTCAAAACACAAAGGTCAATCGTCTAGGGTTTTGCAAATAAAAGCAAAATTGGACAAACTAATGTGTAAAATAATCTTAGTAGTTCACTATAAAAATGTAATTCACAATTATTTCAGTTCTTGATTACTATACTGATTAATCAGATAAAAAACGGCACATTTTGCTGATTTTTTATTTAAGATATTTTTATACGATACTAGAGCTACATTAAAATGTGCAATTACTGCTAAAAGAACAAGAAAATAAACATTTGATTGCCTAAAATTCAGGAACAGGATTCCATTCAGTGAACGCTTAATAACTAAGATAACAAGATAACAAAAGATGCATCTGCAGTTAAAAAATACTTTTATCAACATGTGAAAAGCTCAGCCCTATCTACTCACTTATCAATAAAGTGTGGGGCTAAAGTCTTGACTATTTTTTTTAAATTGAACTAGGTGAAGTTAAAATTGAACATATTTATAGACAATGTTCTTTTTACATCTTAAATGCAAAATTTATACATGTATTTGGCCACTTTTGGCTTAATTACTCCTCTCACTACTTGTTCTTTTGGGCTAAATATATTTTATTGAGCCTTGATACTCCAATCGATTACTAACTTAGTTGGCAATTATTTCAATAATCTGACTAATTATTTCAGCCCTACTTGGAAACAAAACAAAGTTATCACTATAAATAATCAGCTGAAGTGTGTTTGTGCCCGCTGACCTGAATCTCCTCGAACGCCTCGTCAATGGTGGTCACCTGGTGCTGCTCGTGAAGCGCCGGCTCGTCGCAGAAGAAGCACACCAGGCTTTTGTCCGTCAGGCAGAAGAGCTTGACCTTCTCGTGGTCCTTGCAGGGGTAGGAGCTCCTCTGCGCATTCAGGATCGCGTCGAGAGGGAAGGCCGAGTAGCGCTCCACAATGTTGGACAGCTTGAGGCTCGGCGACAGCAGCGGATCGGCAAAGGTCCGGCGGCACTCGGGGCAGTCCCGCGTCCCGTGTGGCTCCTGCCTGCTCCAGTGCTCGGTGATGCACTTCCTGCAGAAGTAATGCTCGCAACCGAAGCTGACGGGGTCCTGGTAGATGCTGAGGCAGATGGAACAGAGGAGCTCGTCCTTCAGACAGCAAGCCATTTGCAAAGGCTGAGTGGCATCTAAAAGGACGAAGTTCTGAAGCGAAGCGCACTGGGTTTAATCTGAGAGCGGATGGTTCACGGCCATGCGAGAGCGGACTGAGAAGATCTACTGGCGTTCTCAAAATGGATGTTTGTGACACTATCAGAGAGAGGAAAAGAGAAAATGATGCATCAAATCTTTAATCTGAGGCCAAATTGGTCTTGTGTTCAAAAACAGTAATATTTAGTAGTAACACATTAACCAAATGGACTTTAGTAAGAACTCATTAAACATTAAGTACGAGTTGAACCAACAGCAATTAGTCTAACATTAACTATAAAACTAAAAACTAAAAATCTTCCAGCTTCTCAGAGTCAATACCTCATTTACATTCTTGATGCTTTGACAAGTATTCCTAACCTTTGAACTTTTTCATATCACAACCACATGTAGTGATGACATGATGGTTTTAACAATATTTTAGAGAGAACTGCAGAATGCGTTTCTGTTCTCCTGAGTCAAATTAGTATATTCACTGTCAAATTTTAAAAAGTATATGCAGCCATCAGACCATTTAAAACATTTTGTCCATTTTTCTTTGTAAAATATCTCCATCTCAGCCATTTTGGCAGAGCATCTGTGAACATAAATTTTCGAGCCTTGCTACAGACTTTAACTAGACCAATCTAACACACGGATATACTTTGAAGCCAAAGTATTGATGTTACTGTAGTTGTGAATGTATGTTTTAAGTCACTGTCCTGCTGGCATGTGAGCATCCACCTTATTTTAAAGTCTTCTGCAGCCTTCAACAGGATTCTGTCCAGGATTGTTTAGTATTTTATCAAGCTTCCTTCATTTGAACTCAAATCAGAGAACGACTTATGCTGCTGCTCCTTCAGTAATGTTTTATTTTCCTTATTTTTTTATAATTGCTTTTGAACCAAAATACACATATTTGATGTTCATTGACAAAAATATAATATCCGTTATTGGTTTTCCCAGGTATTCCCAAGATGATGTTTATGTTTTTGCTGTACAAATGAACTTGACCGATTGGAAAAGGGATGTTTTTGCACACAGGTTGACTGCAATCACCAATTAGCTGATTGGTGGAGGCAGGTGGTTGAAAGAGCTGAATTCAAACACACCAATAGTTTAAAGAAGCTTTTCTGATTGACAATTGTTACTGTAAATGTTGCAGCATCATTTATAGCTCATTATCCAGATGGATACCATCTAGCGAGGGTTATATCATAAAACCGCAGTTGGTTTCACTTTGACAGCTTCTCCCTTTACCTGCGTCAACACCTGGAAATGCATCCAATGAAATGCCTTTCCAGATTCGGGTATTTCCCCACGTCCCTCTTCTCCCCAACCTCCACAAACAGCCTCCCAGGCGACCAACAGGCAAACACCTGCAGTCCTGTCCTCTGTTGCTGTCGACCTTCTTCCCGGCTTCCATTTGATTTTCCCCCAGATCAGGAGTTTTAAGCAGCCTGGAGCAGGCTCTTCCATTCTGACCATCATTTAAAAACTAGTTTGACACATGCTGTAAAAGTCTAACTAGCTTGACTCGACACCTAGCTGGATTTGTAAACACAGCAGACAAGGGACAAAAAAAAAAAGCCACAACAGGAGGATGAATGACACAATAAAAGGCAAAGCATTAATTAATTTAACCTGCTCATTAACTGTAAATAATATTACTTAAACATAAACGGTGGGAAATTATCTCAATGTGACGTTTTCAACTACAAAAATGAATAAAAGCGGAGGGAACGAACCTTAACCTGCCGACCTCTCTGCGGCGACATCAGCGGCTTCAATGCGAGTGTCTTTTCAGGAAGAACACCGACACACAACGGCAACAGACGAAACCAACTGCCGCACACAGAGAGGGGTGTCCGGAGGGGAATAAACATCACTATGTTTCCATTATCACCGCCATTCAAGCTACAATAAAACATCCCGAGATATTCAGATGGCCACCGTCATTTTAAAGGACTCAAAAATCATTTAGACTCTATGATAAAGCGGTTAAAATTTAGCCGTTGACCCCCGATTTCTAAAATGAAGTGACCCACACTTCCTTTCTCCTGTTCACCCGCTGTTAGCAAGTTTTACCTTTATGAGAAGCAACAGCGAAGCACATAAAGAAAAAGCGAAACAGCTCATGAAATGGTCTGAATTACATTTCAGTCGACATAAGTAAAGAGACTGTCACAGCTCCCTTAAAGCGTTTTCATGAATCGAATGAGGAATACTCGGTCAGTGGCTGCAGTGCTCGTCTTCCATCAGCAGGTGTCAGCGGTGTCCGTAGAAATCAGTTCAGTTAAGACGCTTTAAATATGGCTGGCAATTATTAGAATTAGAATTAGAATTAGAGTCGATTTGAAGTATTTTTATAGGAAATAAATTTCACACAAAAATACAACTAAATTAAGAATTAAGTTAAAAAAAAGAATGATGTGATTTATAAGTATTTGATTGGTTAATACGCACAGCACTTTAAATATGTCCTATTATTTTAGCTACTTTAATATCTAAATAAATCATTACAGCTACATTAATTTATTTAATCGTTTTCAATTTGTAATTTGTAAGATAATTTATGTTTTAAGAAAAGAATACTATATTAAGTTCAAATATTATTATTTTTTTTTTTTTTTACAAAATATGCTATTGAAAATTAGACTGAAATATAATTGTTCTAAAATTCATGAATTTAGGTGTGATGATATTCAGACATTCTTTACATATATTAAGCTATATATGTGTGAAAATCTATTCAAAGTATTGCACTTGGCAAAATTATTCATACCCTTTGCAATTTTTCACATTGCTTCATGTTACAACCACAAACTTCAATATATTTTATTGGAATTAATAAAATCAACACAAATGTGCATAATTCTCAAGAGGCAGAAAAATATATATTTATAAATGCTATATTTCAAATGCTATGTTTCAACTTGTATTTGCACATCTAGAGACTGTAAAGTATTGCTACTTCTTTGCATCAGTGAAGTTGAAGCTTGGTGAGATTGGATGGGGCATTAATTTTAAAATTACTGTAAATCTGAACATTAACTCGCTAATCTTCATGCTGAGTTTTACAAGGAATAAAGAGAGAATCAGCATAAATGTTATTTCTTCTGCTCTGTTTTCAGTTTGGCATCTTCTAGCCTAAAATACAGAAAAATATAAAGAGCTGGAAAGATTTCAACTATGTTTCATCACAAACTCTTCATTCTGGTTTCATTCTTTTATGCCGGGTCATAAATAAATAAATACATTTCAAATATGATAGATGAGAAATACGTAAAAACTCTGAAAGCTCACTTGAATGCCCTTTTATTTTATGTCCACTGTACAAACCAGAAACATATGTAAAAAAGAAAAAAAAAGTTAAATAAATCTATATTTTGAACATTTATGTACAACAACAAACAATATATACACATACCCATAAAGTAACAGCTGAAGACAAAACAAAGCACTGGGTTTTTGCTGCACATTCTTTCAGTCAAAGCCTTTTACAGTAATGTTAAAAACAATGTTCAGAAGGGACAGAGGTTTTCATGTGCAATAGCTGGGACTCTCCTCGACTGACATAAACGACAGTTTGCCTGCCTCTTGCTGAGGAGCGCTGACGGACTCCTCTTCCTGTCCAAAGGGAAGTTGATGCTCCACTTGGTTAAAGTCTCCCGGCTGAAAAGACGGCGTCCCACAGGAACCATTTCCTATATGCAAAGTGATGTTGACGTTGACGTGGGGACTGTTCGTTACGGGGCTGACGATCTGCGGGCTGGTGGGCTGAGAGGAGCTCTGTGTGCTGATGCTGCGTTGAGGAGTGAAGGGGACGGACTGTAAGGTCATGGGCTCCGACAGGAGAGACGCTGGATTGTCAAAACCTAAAGTTGGTTGTAGAGGCTTGGGGTACTCATGGCTGCTGAAATCATCCGCCCTGGTTGAAGTTTCGGTATCACTGCTGCTCACACTGTGGTCACTGGTGACTTCCCCTTTCTCCAGCAGACACATTTGCTCCGGTGAGGTAAGTTCGGATGAAATCATCTGAGAAAATTTCTAGTGACGAAACAAATCAAGAGTCAATGTTTTTATATCGTCACAACCGTGACGCCTGCAGCTAACTGGCGGCTAATTTGATTTTTAGGTTAGATTAAAAACATACATGAAGTCTAGCTTTTCTATCTGCTACAGGTTGAGCACAAAACCCCAAAAACAATTATTCTTCTTTCACATCTTTTCCATTATAATAAATATGTCTAAAAAGTCTTACAGTAATAAAACCTCATACTTGAATAATTCATCCAATTCAGTCATTTACTCAGTGGTGAAAAAAGCCAAATAATCACATGTTGGATTCTTAAGAAATGAAAACGTTAAGTTCATCAGATTGTCTAGGAAACATTTAATTAAGAAACAATGAATCCTAAGTCCCTTGGTTATAAATATTATGTGACACATAGTCTCATTTATGTAAGCCACTGACCGCAAGGTGAAGGAGGAACTAAGAGTGTTTAGTCACCACACACACACACACACACACACACACACACACACACACACACACACACACACACACACACACACACACACACACACACACACACACACACGGACAGCAGGATCTTAAAACCAGTTTCTAAAGCTCACTGTTGGACAACTGCAGGAAAGTTTCCAAAACTTCAAAACAATCCTTAAATTATTTCTATTCAACTTGTTTAGTTCGAGTTAGTTGGAAAAAACAATTCCAGGAGGTCAAAAAACTGTATTTTTATGTTATTTAAATAGCTTAGATAACATAAAAATGTTATATAACCAAAATATTACTAACAAGAACCAAACGTTTTGTAAACATTTGATGGAAAAATAAAATGATTGAATCACAACAGATTTCAGGGGTCTGCAACCTTTCCCATTCAAAGACCCATTTTTACCTTCAGTCCTGCTAAATAAAACTCATTTAGAGCCTCAAGTTTTACATCATGTAAGACCTGTGGCTGTCAAAAGAGTCAATTTATCAAAAGGTCATGTAATTGACATGACCTTTTGATCTTTGACAATGGTCCAAAGATGAAAAAAAGAAATAATACTTTTAAATATAAATATGAAAATCAATGCAGCTTTTAGCAGTCTTACAGTTTTTTCTCTGTATAATTTAATTGAATTTTTGCAACAGAATGACACTAAAACTATCAACAACATTCTTATGTCTAATTATCTTGTCATGAAAACAATGTTTTTCTTTTGCCATTTATTTTTTTTACAGGTTTTGTTTTTTTGTATTTTATAACTTACAAAAATAAAAATAAAATTGTGGTTCTTTAAAATAAAAATTTTCCTCAAGTAGATTTATATCAAAAATGTAAAAATGTACCATTTGTGGCTCTAAATTAGTTTTACCATGAGTTATGGTAAATGTTTGCAGACCCATATACCAAAGGAAATTTATTATCTTTAAAGAACCACCATTTTATTTTTATTCATAGGCTTTAAAATACAGAAAAGAGATGAATGTAATTTTTACACAGGATACTAGAATAGAAAAGCACATGTTTTCAACTTAATGACAAGATAATTAGAAATAAGAATCGATGCTTTTAGTCTGATTCTGTTGTGGAAATTCATTTACATTATTCAAAGAAAAAGCTGCAAAACTGCAAAAAGCTGCATTTGTTTTATATCTATATCAAAAAGTATTAGTTGTTTTTTCATCATCCTCAGACAAAGTTATTAAGAGCCATTGTGGAAGGTCCAAAGAGCCGCAGGTTGCAGTATTGAAAGAAAGGCATGCAGGGAATGTTCAGAGACAAAACTCACCTGTTCTGCTGCCTCACAGTTTCCATTTGCATCTACTTTAGGTGATAAGTATCCAGAATCTGGGAAAACAAGAAAGAAAGGACATTCAATGAGGCATATGCTCAAGTGTGGTTAAAGAAATAAATAATAGTGACTATTTTTATTCAGTAATTTAAAGGTCTATCGTCTATTATCAAGACCAGTATGGGTGATGTTACCTCTAGTTTTCTTTCGTTTGCAAAGTATCAGCAGGAGGAAGACGATGATAAGAAACAAAAGGAATCCAGAGGCACCAGCAATGACCGCAACTAAGCAGAAAGTGGGACACAGAAGCAAGTCGAGATCAGACATGAGACACAGGCAAACCGAAAAACCGATCAGGCATTACAGTGAGCTTATGAAACTTGTACCCATTTCGCTGATGGGTTGTTCTGGTTTAGGGCCTTTGAATCCCATAGTTAGGTGAGGCCGCATCGTCTGCTGTGGGCCTCGTGACGTTGTGGCGTTTACTGTAACTGTAGTCGTTACCGTTTGTACTGTTGTACGAAGCGGACAGGGATTTGTGGGGCATTTCTCACACTTCACATCAGAGTTCAGCGTGCCTGATATGAACACACAAACATTTCACAAGATGAGTGCATCTGATAGAAAATAAAAATAGTTACCTGCTTCTGCATAATTATTTATTAAATCTATGGATGATTAAACTGTGTTTTTTAAGAGATTAAATTTACCTGGCACAGAAACTCTAAATCCAGCTTTGCAAACTCTATACTGCCTGCAGTCTGTGCAGAATGGGTTATCAAACCCCATCTCACAGAACATCCCAGGTTTGCAAACACACTTGGCGTTTCTAGTTGCGGAGCAGCTCTGGTGATTCACAAGACCTTTTTCTGGTTCCGCATGAGAGAGAGTAAACAAACCATTAGTAGGAAGTAAAAACTATGGAACGAATGAATGAATCAGATTCACAACACATCTACTGACTGTCTTTGCACTTGCTGCAGGACAAGCAGTTTGGGGTGTAGTTCCATGTCTCGATGTACTGGTCTGATCCACATGGTTCACACTCTGAGTCGGAGTTTCTAGAGCACTCTTGCCTCAGTCTTTGCCCTGTGAAAACATTCATTTAGTTACTGAACATACAATTAAACAGCATATATTCTGTTTAATTGTCTGAAATTCTGCATGATTGAACAAAGTCAGCAGGTTGAGTCTGAATTTGGCTCCAATAAATAGAAAGAAAGCAGTGTCAGAAACTTGATGTGGAAAAGATGCACTTCGTTATGGAGGCTTAAGCAAACAAAACAACAAATGAGATTATCAAACATACTATACAGTAGGATTAATACTGCCCAATCCATTCATTTTATCACTTCGAAATTATGTTGTAAACCATCATCTTGAAAGTAAAAACATAATTAAAAACTATTGAAAGAGTCTGACTTTGTAAAACAATAATTAAAGAGAAGTTAAGAGATGGGCTTAACAGCACAAAAAGCAAAGAGAACTTTAGTTACCAGAGATGTTGGATAAACCTTAGAAATAACTACCAACAGATTTAAACAGAAAATTATAGCTTAGCATTGCTTGTATGGAAAGATATTTGGATGTTTGATGGAGCATTTTCAGAGAAATAAGGTATTATTTTAAAAGAAGACAACCGTGACCTCGTTTGTAGCCTGGATTTAGAGTCAGCCTCAGTGACACCTTAATTTTACTGCCATCGACTGCTGGAGTTCCCCAGGGTTCAGTACTGGGGATTGCTCTTTTTCACTCGACATTCTGCTCCTGGAGTCTATCTTAAAACAAAACTGTTCTGCTTTTTTATGATTGTGTGGATGTCTGTAGAAAAGAACAGACCAAAAGTTATGATGCTGAATAAAGGATAAATTTGTGTCATTCTAAACTGAACAGGCAGCTGAGCTCATTTATAGAGCTAAGTTTGTTTCAACTCAGACTTTCCTCCTTTTTTTAATTCTTCTTTAATTTTGATTCACTATATCTCTTGGAGCTTGTTATAAATGCTGCTCATTATCTCTTCCTAGAACTTGTGAACGAGGTAATTTTTTCATTTTGCTGCTGTGCTGCTTTGGTTCTATGTTTAGCAGATTTCAGTCCTCAGTCACTCACTAAAACCTTACGTTAAGAAACTTTTAGAAGACTGAAGACGAGAAGACTTCTCTTTAGAAAAGATCCCGGCTATTGATGCCATCAATACTTTTTATATCAAGGACCAATTGCCTCTATTTCACAACTTTAGTTTTATCAGATGGATTAAAAATTACTTCAGTTGGACTTTACTCCACAGAAATCCATTGGGATGAGCCAGATAAGAGTCTTCGTAGCAGCCTGATTCTCCAGTAATAAAGGCAGAATCTTAGCAACGCTGCACGAAAATAAATGTTGCAACATTAAAGATTCTTGTCACAATATTGTAAATGTGAAAGTCTGCGTTTTAAATCACCACAACGATTAGAAGCTTAAAATGTGAGTCATTCGTCATGTGAATGTGGGCAGAGCCTTGATTTACCAAAACAAGAAGATAAGACATCAGCTAAAACGGTCCAGGAAAAGCTGCGTGTTTGTCGAACTCACTGAACAATGAACAAGGATGTGAGGCTCACTCTGAGGTGCAAAGATAAGATTAAAAGAAACAACGGATCGAGTTAGAGCTTGAACAGGAACGGTGGTTGCAAAAGCCTCCGAGTCAAACTGCATTCCTCTTCCTCACAGCCCAAAACGTTGTTAACAGCGCCGTGTTGTCGTCAGCAAAGATAAACTTCACACAAACTCTGCTGCTGCTCCTTCAGGCGAATACTCTGAAGAACAAGTTAATTCAAAAATAAAGAGGAAAAAAAAAAACTTTCAGCGTGTGGATACCCTTCAAAAGTGTGGAAGGAAGTGAAGTGTGCGGCTGTGATCTCACAGATAGCTCAACTGCGAACAATCTTTGTTGAATTTCTAATTTACATACCTACAAGCCATTTCCCAGAGAGATCAAAGGCTGTGCTGTTCACAAGCCATTCATTTCTGGGTTGCAAGAGTTTGTAAAAAAGAAAGGAATCAAAAATCCCCTGGAAAGTAACATCGGTTTTCTGCGTTTCCTCACGATAAAGATGCATTTAGATGAAACGGCTCCCCATTTCCAATAAAGATGATAATTTTACAGCTGCTGTTCGTGTTCATGCTTCCAGCTCTGAAGCTGAATGCTCTCAAAACCAACAGATGTGGAAACTGTGAGATTATCACTGTGCATGTTAGTTTCTTTTGAGAAGAGAAAGAAACTACAATAAACAGAGAACACTGTTCTGTGACTCATCATTAATTGCAATTAACTCATTAAAAAAAACTCCGATCTGCTGGTAAAAATGACCAAGAGAACCAGTTCACTCAAAAAAAACTACTTTATAGAAGAAGAAATTTCACTCCAGCATCCAAATTTCAAAGATTCCTCCTTTTTTCAACAGGACTTTAATTCAGATTTACAGGCAATAAACTAAGTGATGAAGTCGTTTCCATCTGAGTTGTAGTTTTTCATAACAATATGAAACCTTTCTGTTTCATATTGTTCTGCAATAATGCATATAAATGTTGTGCTACTTTAAACCCACAATGCAGGATTTTTAATACCACTAAACACTGAAAATAGAATTTTAATATTAGACAGTGAATAATTTTCTTACAATTGTAAAGTTAACAGAAAAAATAAATATTTCTGTCTGAAAAAAACACATTTTTATCTTGTTTTATTTGTTTGATTTTTGAAAATGTCACTTCTGCAGATAATGTGGTGCTTCTAGGCTGGTATATTATACAATATACTTTATACAAAATTAGAACATTTGACCAGATATGCTTAAAACTTCAACTTAGCACTTTTACTTAGTAGGTCTTCTTCTGAAATTCAGTGGGTGCATTTCTTTTTTTGTTTTTAAAATTTTCTCTCACACCTCCACGCCCAAACCTTCACCACTGGGTTTCAAGAGGTGCATCATCACGCAGCCTGTTGCACTTAGCTTTTTTTAACAGGTAGGTGAGGTGTCTGAACTTCACAGATTGCGTCTGTATATTGTTTTGTGTGAAAAGTGAAGTGCTCACCAGGGGGGCATTTCTTGCAGCACAAGTTAATACCATCGTGCAAGTACTCTGTTGTCAGGTTGCGGCAATTTCCGTTGGAGTCAGGCTGATAGGGGATCGAGCGAACCTGTGGAAAGAAAACAGAAAAATGTGGAACTTATTATTTAAAGATAAAACAAATAAACTCTTTATATATTTTAGAACATTTGTTCACTTTGAAGCAGACTTGGAATGCTTAGAAGAATTCAAATCTCATTTTTTTCAATTAAATGCACTGATTTCAGTGTTCTTTTTCGATAGCCTGACACATACCAGTTCATATTTGTGAAGTGGATGAAAAATATTACATATTTTTAAAAAACAACTTGCTATAGAAATCTCACTAAATCAAACGTGAGGTGCATTTGTATTCGGCCCTCCTGTGTAAGTCCTTTGAAAAAAAATTCTTGGCTCACTCAGATTGTTAGTAAATAAGCATGTCTGCCGCAGACTTTCAATTGGATTTAGCTTTGTACTTTGACTAGGCCTTTCTTACATAAGAATATGCTGTGATTTAAACCATACATTTGTAGCTCTGCCTGTTGATCGTTAGCATTTAGCTAACGTCTTTTGCAGCTTCTGCTGTTTTCCCAGAATTGCCATGTCTTTTGCTCCTTTATTCTTCTCATCAGCTCTGAGCAGCTTTCATGTTCTTGCAGAACAAAAATGTGTCCCCACAGCATGACACTACCACCACTAAGCCCTTGCATGGTAGTTCTGGCTGTAGAAAAGATGTAAAATGAACCTTGGGTCTTTTGAAGCTTCTAATATGTTTACTTTTGAGATTTTCCCTGCATCCAGCTCCATCTATAAAAACTGATCAGCTTCTCCATCCCTTTCATATTTCCCCTGATTGGATTTTTCGGTCGCTGTGCCGCATTCATTTCTCTGCGCAGAGCATTCTGCATACGGGCCAAAAACCTGCTTTCATCTCATCTGTCCAGAGTATATTCTTCCATATATATTCTTGCTGTCTCTCCTACAGTAACTGTAATGTATTTTTTCCATTATTACTTTCTTTTTGTGTTCTGCCACTTTTATAAAGGCCAGATGACACATCTAATAGTTTCCTGCCAACCGATTCCTGCACTTGGGCTTGAGCAACACCTCCAGAATAACCAAGAGTCTATAGCTCTTGAATAAGAGCTATATTTATTCTAAGACTTTCCTGTTTGCTAATTATATGCCTTATGAATGCAATAGGCTGCACCGTTTCTTATTTATAGGGTTCAAAGGAAAGGGGGTTGAGCGCCTACACATTCAAGATATTTATACTGAATACCTTACTTTGTGTGGTATTCAAGATACCACACAAAACTATACTTGTGGTGCATCACAGAAACCCCCAAAATTCATTTTAAGAAGCTGTATATTCTTTATCAGGACATGGTAAACCCTGGCCAACTGCTTGGTCAAAACAGCCTGAATTTGATCATTTGCTAATTAGGGGAATGGATTGAGTGGTCCCCGAGTGGGTTTGTTATTTTAAATATAGAAGCGTGATGCACCAGCGCGCCCACGCCTGCGCCCACCTTTTTCAGTGAAGCCTGAGCTGCGAACTGAGAAGAAAAAAGGAGCTATTGTCTCAATTTCTGAGGGGCATTGACCTCTGCATTCCTTCCTGTGGGGAGGCTCTGCAGGAATTGCACGGATGCATAAGCTGAAACGTTATTTGGCGAGGAGAGAGGGAGCACGGCACAGTAACTCTTCACACACCTGACACAGAGCTCTCTCACCACAGCGCTGATGACAAGCAAAAGACACAATTATGCTGACAGCAGCAGCAGCAGTTTCTGGTATTACAGGAAACAAGAGGCGTCAGTCTACAAGCCCCGGGTTTTCTTTGGTAAGTACAGGGAATTGTGCTGTTTGACCACGGACTGACGAGAAACATCATTTGCATAAATAAACACTGATAGCTCATCCGAGAGAACATCCAGTTAGTTCCTCATGGCTGCATACCAACAAAAACTAAAACAAAGTAACAGCTTTATTTTAGACGTCTGAAACAGCATCATTCCAAGTAACCGAAACTAAATACTCACTAGTTACTGCTTATATATTCCCAGAATAATTTGTCACACTTAGAAAATGACAAAATTAAATCTTTATGACAATTGATTAGGTTAAATTATAGAAACACGTGTAACATAGACATCCGAGTTTTTATTTTGACTCTGGAATGACCTCCAATGACACTGACCCAACTTTTCTTTTGCTCCTAACTTGTGGCAGCACAGCCTGTATTTATCCCCTCATTATAAAGCTTGAAGGAGCTCACCTTGACAGCTCGGAGAGTCAGCAGAAGCAGCAGCACCAGTATGTCCTTCATAGCTTTTCCAGAGTGACTTACAGAGCGGAGCTGAACTTGCAGCAGGCAGCGTGTGTGTGCTGCTCATGAGGGCGGGTCATCTGAACTCAAACCTGAGGCATTTCCTTGCACTGAGATGAATCTGGAGGGAGGAAATGAGCAGAGAGACTAACCCACATTCACTGAACTGATGCGAATAACTATAATGAGGTTAGTGAGAGTACAGTGGCAACTGTATGTGTGTGTGTTTCTAAGTCTGGTCGGGTTAAAACGCGTTGCACCTTGAAGTAAATGGTCCTCTCAGCAATCTGCAGCTCGTTACAGAAAAACTGCAGCATCTGATTAATTTTCCTGGAAATGAAGGCTTCTGAATGTGATTCTGATCAGAAAAACCTTTTTTTAAAAATGTTTGGCTCGAACAGACTGCATTGATAAATATCTCAATAGCTAATTGTTCACTAACCGTGTGAAGACATCAATAAAAGTCCAAAGTTCAGCTTCAGGGAATAAAGTCAAAGTAATTAGCGAGTATTAACTTGTCTCCACAAGCAGAGACAAGTTAATACTGGCTTTTGTATTGGGAAGAGGAAAACATACACTGCACTGAGTGTCACTAGATTCCTGAGCCTGAAGAAATCATGAATTATTTGGATTTCAATGTTGGAAGTGGCTGATCATTTTGCATACTTTTCTATGCAAAAGTAGCGCCCCCTCTTGAGAAATGTCAGCCATTCCCCCGTGAATCATGTTCAGGTCATCAGGTCACACTGAGGCATACAGTTATTTTCTGCAATCAAGACATAAACGTGAAACCCAGCAAATAAATAAATGTACAAAATTAAATGAAAAACTAAATACATAAAAACATTTATATCACTCCTGGATAATTAACTCTATTAAGAATTTTTTTTTTTTTTTATATACTGCTCAAAAAAATAAAATAAAGGGAACACTCAAACAATACAGTATAACTCCAAGTAAATCAAACTTCTGTGAAATCAAACTGTCCACTCAGAAAGCAACACTGATTGACAATCAATATCACCTGCTGTTGTGCAAATGGAATAGACAACAGGTGGAAATTATTTTTATATTTATTTCATTCATTCAGATCTAGGATGTGTTATTTGAATGTTCCCTTTATTTTTTTGAGCAGTGTATATATAATGGCTCTCAAACAACAGTGTTGGGCCTTTGTTACAATAAAATTGGAAATCTCTGGATATTTTGTTGGATAATAGACATGATTGACATGAATCAGATCGTAATTATGAATAAGGACAGAAACTATGGATTTTATTTTATTGTTTTTCAAATAAAAATTTGGAAATGTGGCTTGCATTTGGTTTTAACCCTGTTACCTCTTTGTTTATAAAATGGAAAGATTATATCACAACTGCAAAGCCAAACCGTAAACTTACAGACTGGATAAGTAGAGAACTTATCGCAGAAACAGCCAGGAAGTTCAAGGTAACTCCATAGGAGCCGCAGAGATTCACAGCAAAGGTGTGAAAATCTGCTGTCACGATATGTCTTAGTCATGAACTTTAAAAATGTTGCCTTTATGGAATGATGTGAGAAAAGCCATGATGAGTCCACAGGACATGTAAGGGACACAACATGTGCAGGACGTTGCTCTGAAGAAATGAGATCAGATTTGAACTTTTTTGCCTGCAAGCAAAAATGCTATTTGTGTCAGAAAATACTTCACCCTAAATGCATCATCCCCACAGAGAAACTGGGGAATATGAATGGAGTTAAATACAGATCAATAATGGAACAAAGGCAGAGATGCTATGCACCTTTCCAGCATGACAAATATTTGGTACACACAATGGAAGGTAAAGAAAAACCATATTGATGTTTTAGGATGACCCAGTCAAAGATCAGACCTAAATAGGAATTTATGGTAAAACTTGAAAATTGATGTTCTATGTAGTCTGACTGAGCTTTTGCTGTTTTTGTAGAGAATAGGTTAAAAAAAATCTATCTACAGATGAAAATGGTAGCAAGTTCTACATTTAGATTACGTTTGAGTTTGTGAAGTTTGAGGTCTGTTCACAGTTTAGCTTGATATCTGGGAGAATAAATACGTTTTGGCCTCTTAAATCTCTAAACATCAATTTGTTGGCGCTGATTTCCTTCATTTTGGGAGATCGGTGATCGACCAATATGTGAAGCCGATCTTATCCAATGATTTTATCGACCTTAGCAAAACTGATAATCCACCACCGTCCTCTTCCGCTCTACCTTTAGAAAGGTTTGACTGACAGACCGGTTCACCAGGTCATGACTGGACGTAAACGGTTAACAATAGTCGCAGTGGACGGATTTGTGTAGGTTGATATCGATTAAAATTTCTGAAATTACTATTATTTTTAACGATGTAGCAGAAAACAATCCACTGAGGTATTAAACGATACGAGTTTGGTCACATGTAAAAGCTGCAACGGTGAAAAAGTCAAGAAGAATCGAGTCATTTTCAGAGCGTTCACTGATTGTGAACACAGACCTCAAGTCCTGATAAATTACGCTGAACTTTGTGGCTGTGAGTTGAGAAAAAGTGAAAAGGTTTAAGGTTCAACTGAACATCACCACTACTTTCCAGTTTAAAATGTGTGCAGCCACAGAGCGGGTTTGAGCACATGTCGTGCCCAGTAACTTCTTGCCCCTGTGACTAGCGGCTTGTTCCTGTGATGCTGACATTTCAGAATAAACTTTCCCCTCCCACATGTTCAGATGTTTTCTGACTGTGAAGTAAAACAGAAGCAGCCCTTTTTTGCCAATGTGAGTTATTTTGTTTACTTTAAGTCACTTTTACCAACACCGAGGCTCAAAATATGACCCGAAGAAGCAAAAACTTTGTCTTAATATGGTCTTCACATATTAGTGCACTGATTTAGTTGCAACGCATGAGTAATTCTTAACTCCAGGGTGTGATAGTTTTTAAATGACACACTCAAACCTCATGTTACTCAGGGATAAAAATGCAGCTTTTGTTTTCTATCTTATTAGGCTGCAGCGGTAAAAATCTTAAATATCAAAATGTGATTTTGTTTCTGTTACATTATACATAATGAGGGAAGATGATTGCAGAGAAGATTTATTATTCAGAAACTACGTTCAGGTCCTGCTCATGTGGAAGCAGGTGAAGATTTCCTGAAGGAGTAAAATGCCTTTTCATCAGCAGTAGCAGCAGCACAGCGGAGCTCTCAACTAGCACTGATGAGATTCTAGTCAATTTCTCTGGAGTCTTTCTGAACATTTTCCCCTTTTGTTTCTCAGAAGTTCAGCCCACCAGTGATACAGTTTGGCTGCAAGGATTTAAAAAGCAAAAACCCCGTCACTTAAAGTCAGAAACAGCGCGTTCAAAGAACATGCTGTGAATCAATCCATAATGGCAAACACGTTCAACAACCTTGGCCTTTTAGACACAAACCTACAGCGTGCAAGGTGGGACCTCAAATGCATGTAAGTGTTAGTAAGTATAGGTGGTTGTGGTTTCCTGTGAAGGGCAGCTCCTGTATTATACACATAGACCCTGCTGAGCTTCAGGGCTCCTCGTTCCACAGTAAGGAAGTTAAAAGCAGAAGTTTGCAAAGACACAGCAGCCAAGACAGTTGGAGAGGGCAACAAACAAAGGCTGGAAGTGAGTCAATGTGATTTCCTTAGTTTTGCAAAACACAGCTCAGACATATGCTCAACGTTCCTTATGTTGTTCTAAAACTGGTGTTAAATGCTGCAGGTCTCCATTGTGTTGCAACTCTTGCTTCACTTCCACATTAGCGGAGGTCACATGTGCTCAAGCTTTAATGCACATGAACAAAGAAAAAGGGAACTGTGAGGCAAAATGATTTAAGTCTCAAAGTTTAGAGCTAACTTATGTTCCAGTACATTTACAACACCTGATGCACTTTAGTTCAGTGCCCTGTTTGAAAAAGAACAAAAACAAAGTACATGAAGGACGTCTGGCAGAGACAGACGATGTTGCACTAGAAATGTAAATGTAGCCAGTTTTGCTTCTCAGATTTTGATCCCTTGAAAATCCAGAAATGACTCATCAGCCCACGGGGAAAAAAGAGGCTCTTGGGTTTCTTTTTGGAGAGAAATGTTGAAAGTTGAAATTTGCCAAGCGACACACAGCAGGGGTCTCAAGGTTTTCACTTCCTCTAGATGAAGATAATTTCTGGAAAAAAGGGAAAAAATTGTGTGAGACACGTTTGCACCCCGATGACTATGGATATAAATTAAAAGCCTTTCACATTGCATGACTCAAAAGTGGAAGAAAATGCCATTTATGTTTTGCTTTGAGCCACATCAGAAGTGTCTACATAGGTTTTGTCTGATGAAATATTTCTATCAGAGATGCACTGATTGCAGTTTTCTGGTCGATCGCTGATTATCAATCTTTAAAAAGCCCGACCTGCTGATTCCAGTTTTTGCTGACACCAATTTAATTTTTTGTCTGAAATGTTGCTAAATATAGCAAGAAAGATGCTGAGTTGGTAACAGTGGGATGACAATGTTAACTGGTGGGCCGGTCAACCAGTTAAACCTCTCTCACAGGAGGAAACAAAAGAGGACAGTGGTGGATTTTTAGACATTTGTTGCTGTAGGTTATATCAGGGGATACGATCGGCTTGAAGTATCGGCCGATCACTGATCTCCCAAAATTAAGAAAATCGACTGGCTGATAAATTACTGCACCACTAATTTCTTCGTTGTAGGTTTTTCTGTTTTCTGTCTGGTATCTTAGAGTTCAAGATGTCCTGCAACATAGCAATGAGCTCAGAGAAGTAGAGCCACAGCATTACAGGCCCTCCTCCATGCCCAACACATGACATCCACTGTTAAAGAAAAACCAGCCTCACTGGGCAGCATTCCTGATAATTGTGCACTGCAGGTAATAAAGCTCCAAACGTTTACATTTGTGATGGTAGGAGAGAAGTAACTGTTTTCATACTTTATAAAGCAAAGCGTCTGTTGGTTGTTAAGGTGACTAAAGAAGCTAATATTTGCCGAGTTCCAGATACTAAATTTTCACTTCCCTTAACATGCAGCTCACTGTGTGAGATGCCAAGATAAATAGCCTGGTGGGCAGTGGCCAAAAGAAATGGGCCTCTGTGTCATAGTGTATTTATATCCCAGTGGAACGGGAAGCCATGGATTATTTATTAGTTTAAAAGTTCCAAGAAGTTCAAGAAAAACAGAATAAATTAAACAGATCCTTCTGATATATTCACTTTGAAAAGGTTGTTGACAAACATATGTAAATCTGCTCCTGGTGATTTACATTAATTATTCCTCAACATTATACTTCCTTTCCCACTGAATAGATGTACTCTAATGACAAATCATAGTGTGCAATCAAGCTACTGAAATAAAAGATGAGTTTATTTTTCCCAATAAGCTTGAATGCTGCTCAGACTCTACAGTTACTGGAGGTCTGACAGAAGTTAATCACAAGCAAACTGATAAGCTGGTGTTTTTCTGTTGCCTGAATACAATAGCAGGTTTCTCAGTCTTACCTCCAGTTGCTGGCTCAGGGGGCTACTAGCATTCTTCGTCTTAATGCTGCTCCGCAGGTCAAGGCTTCTGGCCGGAGGCAGGATGTTCTGACCTCTATTAGACCATCCTGAGAGGCAATGCTGCACAAAGCAAAGGAGATTAATGGCAGCAGGACCAAGGAAGCACATTCAAATGGCCTCTTTACTTTACTTAAAGTGATCTTTTTTGCATCCTCAGCAGAAGCTGGATGATCATCTAAAGGTTTATGAGACATCTTTTATGTTGAGAACAGGAAACAATTGGTCATCCTTGAATAAAGCAATAAGCTAGTGCTATTCAGCTAACCACTGCAGGAACACAGAAGCATTTTATACAGTTTAAAAAATAGTATTTTATGTGACATTAGAAGTGCTTACTAACAATAATTAGCAAAGAGGAAAACCTAGACACTTTCTAAGATATAGCCTCTGTATCGGTCGCCTTCTCTAATACTATGCAACACGCCACCCACCAAAAATAATTTTTTTTCAACGCAAGAAGTGTGCTAGATATTGTAATACTTATTTTCAATTATTAAATCTGAATTTGCCATGTAAATTACAATTAATTCACACACGCAGTCTTGATATCTAAGGAATGTAAAAAGCTCAAAGTCTGAATGATTAAAGCAACATTTTTGTCACTTTTGAGACAGATGCAGAGAAGAAACTGAAGAAAACTACAAATGAAGGCTCCATTGAGAATGAAACAAAAAGGACAGACTCAGACAGAAGCAGCATTATTTGTTTCCAACTCACTGAAGGTAATCCCAAACTGTCTGAAGGATCGAAGCTGCTTCGACGATGAGCTTTGTACTTGTAAGATGGCAGGATGTTGGCACGAGGAAGGCTAACCCTTTAAAAAACAAGCAACAGAATACAAGTAAAGATCTATCTTCAGGCGACAGACATGCATACACTGAAAAGCACACAAATTTTGGATTCATATCATATCCATACAATACAAAATTGTACAGATTGATAACCAATCTGTATTATCAAAACTTTGTAAGCAAAATAAAATGTAAGGCAAGACTATTTAAGCTAAAATTAAATGTTAATTGTACAATTGTTCAGACCTCAACTTTACTAAAACCGTAAATTTTTCAACAACATATACAGTTTAGGGAAATGCCAACATGGTTTTTGAAGCAGAACGGTCTAAAAAAACGCAATGAAAAATGAAAAAATTACACCGAGTCTGGTTTTCTTTCCAGGCAACTGAATATTTCAAACATCTGAAAATGTTTTCCAGCAAGCACCAAATGTTTGGCTGTCAGTGGGCGGTTTCAGAATCAACCCTTGTATGCAGAGCTGTCACAAAAGAGAGCTACAATTTCATTTTCGGTGGGTGCTACTGGTACAAATAAGACATTTCATTGCACTCCGGTTTGCCGCCCCCATAAGCTGCCACCTGCTGATCAGTCATTGTAAGCTCTCTAAGTAATTTCTTAGATCACACAGCACAAAAAAAAAAATCTCAATTTTCTTCTACAGTCTAACACACACCTATGTATTACCAGTAATATTGATTAAAAGCTAAAAAAAAAAGAAGGATTTTTCTGATTTTGAAGAACTTATTTTATGTTGGAAGGACAATTTGATTAATCATTTTACTTATCCAGGTACTAAATTGCTTTAGAAAACACTTCACCGGACATCATTTTCATTATTTATAAAGAGAATATTTATTTTACAAATTAATTCAATTGTTTGCTGGAGTTTGTTTCTTTATATTTTGTTAGACTGACATGTAGTAGATGACAGGAACACCTGATGCCCAATGTAATGTGTCATTAATTTGTTAGTCACACATACAACTCCGGAAAAAATTAAGAGTCCACTGCACTGAGCCCCACTGAAAACCTCCTGGTTATTTCACCAAATATTGATTCCTGAACTCTTCCTCAGTCAAAACATTAGTGTTTCTTGTTGTTTCTAAATGAACATGAACTTGTTTTCTTTGCATTATTTGAGATCTGAAAGCAATGCATCTTTTTTATTATTTTGACCGTTTCTCAATTTCTGCAAATAAATACTAAATCTTTGCTTGGAATTTCAATTACATGCTGTCAGTAGTTCACAGAATAAAACAACAAGGCGTAAGCGCATGACATTATCATTCCTGCATAAAAGGGTCAAGGGTCAAACCCTCAGTACCTGATCAGAGCCGGTTCAGCTGCAGTGTGAGGGTAGGAAGATTTGTGTCTTTTGCACACTGGGCAGCATTCCTGAAAGTGAATTGGGACAGGAAACAACCTGCTGTTGATCCGGTAGGAGAATGTACCTAAAGAAAAGGAAAACACAAAGAGGGGGAAGATTTGGACAAATTGAGATAATCAAAACAATGAGTCCAATCTAATAAATAATACATCTTACACTGATGAGTGTCTGTGTTTCCTTCTTCGCTGTCATCTATCAGGAGTGTTCGGGAAAGATGGCTTCTGTCTAAAGACCTAAAATAAGCCAAGAAAGTGTCAAATGAAGAAGCTGCTGTTCAACAAAGATCCTTTGAAAAGTCTAACATGAGCAATGCGGTGAGGAGACTCACTTTGCTGCCCCAGAGTGAACACACTCGTCTTTATTGGCCGATCGAAACATGCAGAGATCATTGAAGAACTCATCAGAGTGTTCTAACAAGGAGTTCTCGGTATCCAGAACCCCTTATGAGAAAAAGAAGACCGCCGTCAGTCATCTACTCAGGAATGTCTCTGATCAACCCTTAATATTTTTCTCTCATCTGATTTCCAAAGAGCCACGGTTTCATTTTCAGTCCAGCATTTTTACCAAACCATGGCCGCGTATTGTATGTGTTTTACAATTTAGGAATATAAAACAAGTAGGAAACAACTAGAGAAATATAAAGCATAAAACTATCTACAGAGGGTGGAAAAGATCTAGAAGTAATCTCTTTCACAAACAGGAGAAAAAAATCCTACAAAGACCTAAAACAGGACCTGAGAAATGCATCATCTTTCCAATTTAAGCAATGACTTCAGCTGAAAGCAGCTTGGGAATCACATGGTTGCTTTGTCACATTCAATTAAAAAAAAAATCCAAAAGAAATAAAAGAAAGTGTTTTCGAAAAGGTCAGAAGATCAAAATAAATGATTTCTTGACAAAATAGTGGGTTTGTCATAGACAAAACACTAGTTAATCTCTTTCAGTTTAGGACGTTTTGGACATATCAAACCTCCCAAACTGAAACACAGTTTAGGAGTATAAATAAATCAGAGAGAAGTGGCTCAAAAGCCACGAGTGTCAGGTATAAACTTCAGAATTATGGTGCACTGTATTTGTACTCAGAAGCTGGAATTTCAAAGATTCATCTGGAAAAATGAAAATGTAAAAGTTTGAATTTCATCCGACAAAAGCAGAGAATAAAGATTCAGTACGGCTGTCATGTTTTTAAAACATAAGGAATGTCGCAAGAGTTTGTCTTCACTTGGAACTCTTTAAACCAGAGGAACACGTGGTACTGTACAACCTCTATTTGTGAACATGTTGCAACATGTTCAGTGAAACTGAAGAAACCAGACTAGATTGAACTCAGATGTGAGGTCGTTCCCAGATCCAAGTTTACCTTCTGAGATAAATCAAATGAAGCCAGTTTATAGGAAATTACACAAAGGATAACATTTAAAGAAATTCAGAAATATTGCACACCTATCACACAAGACAGTGGCTCTTTGGAAGCAAATAGCAAATAAACAAGTGAAAAATAAAGACTTCAACAACGTGTTGTGTTCATGTCAACTGAATAAATGAGGCGCGCACCTGCTATCCAATCATATCCAAGCAAAGGCTGCACATGACGTCTGTCTGACGCAGGTTTGCTTTCAGATTCTTCTGGCTGAAAAATCTTGACTTGACTTTTTATCTCCGTCTGTAAAAAGAAAACACATGGCTGATTGCTTGGCATCATCATCTTTCAAAATAGTGGGTTTGTTACTCAACATTTTATTTCCTTTTTCAGTGAAGTACAGGACATTAGTAGGTGGGTATTTACTCAGCAGCTAATCAAAACAAAATAATTTGTATTTTTTCAATATACTGAACACGTAAAATGACATATTTATGAATACTTATAGGATCTTTTTTTCAATGAATATCAAAAGGTTTTTACTGCAGCAGCAAATGCAAGTATCAGTCAATTTACAGAAACTATTTTCAATAGCAATAATGAGACTGGAAATTCCAAGAAATGACTGTGAAATCTGAATTAAAAAAAAGTAAACTTTCCAAGTTGGGAATTCCAGTGAGATTTATCAACAATGACTTCCATTTTTTAAATGACAGATAAAAAAATCAAAATAAGTATACAAAACTCTGTGGATGAAAAAATACCAAGTAATAATCATTAGTTTACTGTAAACTGGTGGGTGGTGGTCAAATTTGAAACTCTTTATTTGTATGTAGCAATATAAGTCATCTCCTAGCAGTTTACTCAACAGTCTGAAACATTAAAATACCATTCAGAACAGTCAGATCAGTAAATTCTACAGTAACAGTAAATAATCTATTGAAGGAAGCTTAAAGACTGCAATAAAAAGAAGTTTCATTTTTGGCATTAAAAAATTTAAAATTTTTTATGTTTTTTTCTTCAAATCTTATATTTTGTGCTAGTTGCTAAATTTACTAAGAAACAAACATGCCACCTTAAAGAAACTAATAATAAATTATGTGGAGAGAAGTGAAACGATGACACGGTTCTTCATTTGTAATAGTTTGTGATCATATTTCATTTCATTTATGATGTTTTTAAGTATCTCTGAGTTTGACTGTATTACACAGAGGAAAATAAAAACAATGTGTGACTAAGCATTAGTGCACAGATGATTTAGCTCATAAAACAGCACTGCAGAAAAACAAGTGATGTGTTGCTCACAGCTGATATTTACAGGAACACTGATGCATCAAAGTAAATGGATACAACAGTGTTTGTGCTTTGTATGAGACATTTTATAATCCAGTGACCACAGTAGCTAAAAAAACACAACTAATAATAAACAACATATCATTTAAAAAAATCAATAAATTGTACATAATGTACATATTAGCAGATATAATATTTTATTGTTTTTCTTTCCTGAGAAAAAAAAGTACAACTTTTAAACAACAAATTAAAAAAAATTACTTGTACTTCATTATATTGTGATATCTAGACATGATTAGATCACTCAGTACATATAATAATGAGACGTATGTTGGACATGGCAACAATTTATCTATTGTGAGGCAGCAACTGGGACTTAGGAAGAACTGCTGTTTATTTGCTTACCTCAACTTTATTGGGCCTAACTTGGGAAAACTGCATTCTCAGTGACCCGGGGTCTGATAGAGTGGAATAGTCCTGAGAGTTTTGGTGGCTGCCTGACAGTATTGTAGGTTCAGCAGGTAAACTGTGTTTGGGGGTCCCTAAAGAACTGGAGAACTTCCAGGGGGAGTCTTTGTGAGTCTTTTGAGTATCTGAAAAAAAGACATCAAGTTAAACTTTAGGAATATTTAATCATCATCAACATGCCAGCTGACTTGTCTACTTTAGCAACACAAATGTCACAGGACAACACTTGGAACAACAAGAAAACAGACCAATAACTGTAAGCATTTTGTTAAATGATGATATCCAAATATTTTAAATATTTGAATCCCAATTCAAAGAGTTGACTGAAACATCACTCAATAGTACGCTACAATGAGCTCTGTTTCACAATCATCTAAGTGCTTCAGTTATCCACCTGCTTTTGCACCTTTTCTTCACCTTTTCAATTGTTTGTCATGAATGTGTGAGTTTCACTAAATTACATTAACTTAGTGATTTTGCCTTTCGCGTTATAATCTCTAAGCCTCCAGAGCAGCTACATAAGCATGCAGATCTTTAGGAAATCAGTCTCCACACGCCTGTTTGTTTCCATCTTTCATAAAAGGTAATTCTGTGTTCAGCTAATACAAATGATTTAGAATAAGGAAAGCAAATTATGGCTGCAACTTTGAATTCCAACTTTAGTTAACAGTCAGCGTCAATAGGTCCATATTAACGGGATATTTACCAGCAAATCTGACTGAAGGTTTGGCCAGGGCTGCCCTTGCAGGACCTCGATGTCCCTCCGTTAGAGTTACCATAACTTCGGATTGCCTCCTCTCCTCCTTCTCTTCTTCCTCGGCCTCTCTCCCCCTCTTGCGGCTCAAGCTGCAGCCGCTCACCCGCTCGAGTTTCTCTCTTTGCTCCCTGAGCTGCTCCAACAAATATTTGTTACGCTCTCGAAGAACGTCTGTTAAATCTGTTGACATTTTCTAGAAAAAGAAATCTGCAAATCACAATTACCTTTAATTATTTGTAAAGTATAAAATCAACTACGGGTGTACAACGTTGTTGTGTTTTGAACGCGCAGACTCCACCACTACGTCAATAGTAACGCTTTGACAACAGCAATTTGATTGGCTGAGACACAAAATCTTCGTAACCGCCAAAAAGCTTTTTTTTTTTTTTTTTAAAGTGACAGGCGCACATTTCGGTGAAACTGCACTAGGAGTTGGCGAACAACAGAGGGCGCCAACATATTCAAACTATGATCAATGGACTGGAGTTAGGTTCACAAAATACTTATCAGGAATTTATTTTGCTTATTTGAATAACTTTCTAGTGACATTAGACATAAATCCCAAAACACTGTTATGATTTTACACATTAAGGTAATTAATTTATGTCAGAACTTAAATAATAATTCCAAATGTCTGTTTAAAAGAACAGTTTTCCATTACATACAAATTGATCTAAGAACAGTGCATTAATGTATTATTCAAAGCTGTAAACATTCACTAAAAACTAGATTTATAGATACAGCTGAAACCAGATACGTATACATATTCATTTTTAGATTTAAAATCAAGTGTGAGAAAATTTAAGTACTTAAAAAACATGAAATAAGAAGGTCTCTTTTCAATAATGAAAAATGCAAGTGATGTCTTGCCAACTTAAATTAGTTCAATAGGTGGACCAGTTTGTTTTATATAGCAAATCAAATCACTGGCAACCAAAAACTAAACAAGATAACAAAAATGCTGGAATTCAAAGAGTATCTGAAAAAGGCAAGAGATAAACCTTCAAAGGAAGAAGCCTCAATATACTCCCAAGAAAACCATAATAAAGGGATGAGAGGGCTCAATGATAAAACCAGAAGGGCCAGTGGTCTATTTAATAATAATATCAACAAATCTTCTGGCATGCAAGCATTTAGAGTTCATTCTATCCCTCACCTATTATGTTTAAAATTTTTGTTGATCGTGATAAAAAAAATTGGTCTGCTGTTCATTTTTAGAGATTTACTGTAAGCAGATTTGCAGAAAGACAAAATCCAGCAATGACTCTGCGTCCCATCAGGCAGCGAACAGTTTCACAATAACATTCTTAGAAAACCACTAATAATCCACTTCAGGTGATACTTTTTTCTTTCTCCCAACAGGGATGTCACAAGTCAGGAGAAAGAGTTCATTCACACACTCATCTATAGTTTCCATTGATGCAAACTGAGAAATGTTCAGTTTCATTGTGTATCCACTACTTTGGTTTTTCATTTTCTATGTGTCATAGTTTTATATAAATTTGAATTCATGTGCATACACGAATACCTAAATATATGTTTTAGTTCAAAACTAAAACATCTTGTTCAGGAGTGACATACTTGGGGTGTGCTGTGGTGGCGCAGGGGTTAGCACGCCCCACATTTGGAGGCCTAAGTCTTCAACGCGGATATTGCAGGTTCGACTCCGGGTCCAGGCAACCTTTGCCGCATGTCTTCCACCCTCCTTCCTGTCTGTCTACAAGCCACTAGTGCCGTAAAAACTCTTTGGAGAAAAAATAAAAAAAGAGTGAAGTACTTGAATTTAGGCAGTGCTTTTGTAACCCACAAGACAGATTACTAAAATACCTTTGATAACAGTAGATGACAGGTAAGTTAATTTACTTCAATGACTAATACAAACACTGCATAGGTATAAAGAAAGTTGTGCCTGATCAGAAGATTCTAAATTCACGGGAGCCTAGATGTGAGTGACAACAGAGGAGAGCACACAATTTCAATAAGAAAGAGTAGAATTTAATATAGAGAACATTGTGGATCCACATTAACAAATAAACAGAAATTGTGCGCTTGAAAAAAAAATAACCCAGTCTTTTTGTTGTGTCTGTCAAATGTTCATTTATTGTTTGTTTAGTCGTTTCAATGTGTCTGTCAAATGGTCATTCAAAGTCTCACAGGGTCACCATCTACTGGTTCACTCGGTCCTCTGGGCTGGGGCTCGCCATCCAAGTTCTGGAGAGGATGATCTTGGGGTTTCTGGGCACTGCAGGCCAAAAATGCACCATAACCAAAAGAAAAAAGACTGACCTGGACCAAGGCCAAAGTAAAGCATCTTAAAATACAATATCCATAAAGCTTATGCTACAATTCAAAGAGCTCTTTCATCATTTCTCAAGTTTTTCCATGTTGTACAACAATATTCCAGTTATCGGAGTTTATATTCTTGGTTAGTATATATATATATATTTCAATCTTAAGGTGCCAATGAAGCACATCTATAACACTATATTATATTATCTATAACATCAGAATGTGGATTAGAAGCTCACATTAGCTCTAAACTTCTAAAAACAGAAAGTTTCTAAATAATGTTAACAGAGAAGCACATTACAGCACCATGAACCGTGAATTATCCCTGTTGAAATATTAGAACATGTTCTAATAGAGAAATAAGTGCAATTACATCAAAAAAAATACAACATACACAATTATAATCCAAAATCTTACAATACAATTAAATTTTTTTATTAAATTTGATCAGTTACTTGGTATTTTAGCCAATTTTCAGCGAATTTACGGAGCCAACTGCCGAGCGCGTGCGATCACTCACCGATGCTCCATCGCTACACAAGGATTTTTCCGGGCTTCAGACACTCACAAGGAACGCTTTCTGAGATTTAATTTAAAAAACAGATTCACAATTTTGAATTATATTTTTCGCTAAATTATTTTAACATTGTTTTTCTTACCAATTTCCAAGATTCTTCATCGAATTTGACAAAACTTCCAGGTTATTAAAAGGTGTAACCGTTAACTCTGAGTTCTCAAGCGTATCTGACGCAACCTGAGCAAAATCTCAGCGCGCAAGTTGAAGGGGCGGGACAATTAACCTTATTGGCTGATGTGACATCAGACTGTGCCAGCTATTGGTTGTTTTATCCGTCACTAAAAGCAATCACTAAAGGCATATTTTACAGTTTTTGAAGAATTTTACCACTTTTTATCTATATTTATGAACATATATATTAACTTACTTTTTAACTTTATTACTTTTTAAATCTTATTGTAGAACAAGACATGAAATCTATTCATACTTTTTAATCTCGTAAAAGAAGACATTAAATCAAGTAAATCTTTTACTTGTGTTTTTAACACGGGGTTACACTTCCATCTAGGAAAGGGATACAGTTACTTTCATCAAAAAGAAAAAGGCAGAAAACAACATCAATGGATGTAAATAACGTACAGTTAATGGAGAGTGGCTGGAGAAAATGAAGTGAGTAAAGTGTACCATGCTTACACTAAAGCTCTTCCACTCTGTAATATTTGCAGCGTTGGTGGACCAACACGTTATGTTTCATCACTCTTACAGGACAGGGAGTGCTTGTTGAACTGTTGACAGTGGTATCCCATATTGTGGGTGGCTTTTATTTATTTACAACAAAACCCGTCCATCCATGACGGCTCTAATGACAGTGATGTGGGTGATGCTGTGTTGCAGCCATAATCTGAGGCCTGATCCCCCGCAGAGTGAATGGTGTAGAACAGAGACGTCGAGCTGCTGCTCCGCATTCTGGTCACGACTTGGACGCACGCAGATCTGTCCTGACCGGTCTGCTATGATTAGCTGACCACTGTATTGTGGCGTTGCTCCCCATTATCATTAAACGGTGCCAGCCGGGAAGCCATACTCTCCTCTCTGCCTCTCTAATTACACCCCCACTGTTGGGCTCCAAGCAATTACACCAGGTCGCTTTATTGTTCATTAAGCACAGATAACAGACACATCAACAACAAAAACATTGAGTTACTCATTTTGTGCTCAAGAAATACCAGTTTACTATGCAATGGTGTAAAATGGAAAAATTACTATCACTATCAATACTTATATTATTCTTTATGTCTAGAAGGAAAAGATTATCTGAACTGTTGTCAGGGCCACTGTTCATTTCTGTGCAGTTTAAATCTTATTTTGTATAATTGTGAAGCATATTGTCATCACTTGAAGATAAAAGGCTTAGTTGAAGTGACTTTCTAAAAGCTACATGAATTAATCCAGGATTAATAAGAAATGCTAAGATGTTATCAGTCTAAGAAAGAAACACAAAACTTGCCTCCATGCTCGAGAAGAAAGCTATCCAAATTATACGTCTGACTATTTTCATCCAACTAATGAAATATTTTATAGTTTCAAAATATTTACGATTTAGTAGAGCCAGGATGAATATGGAAAACAATTGTACTTCAGATAGAGGTAATCAGGTCAGGAATAATTGTTATGAGGAGATAAAACTGTGTTTTTTATTTATTTATTTATTTTTTTATTTTATTTATTTATTTTTTTTACTTGTTCATGGCAAATTAAAAAAATTACAGAAAATAAATAGTGAGTGGTCAGAAGACAGCTGCAATCGCCAATCAGGCTGACCTCACAGGACATAAGATGTGCAAACCTGGAGTGGCGTGTAGTCAAGTCCTGGAGGTCACAATTGCTAGAGAGTGAGAGTCGAAGTGACAGGAAAGCAGGCAGAGCGAGGTGTTGACTGATGGTCAATTTAGCGAAAACAGGCTGTAGACCTGTCCTGAAGCATATGGAGAGGAGCTGCTCACAATCTCAAAGAATACAGAGGAGGATTTTGGTTCCAGTTTATTATCACTCTGAGCTGATGAGGGTAAAACCAGGAGAATAATTCAGCAGGGAAGCAAGAAAATACAAAAAAGGACATTATATGAGAGAGGCACCGCCATGATCATTGAGGATATTTTAGAAAAGTGTAACAAAAACCAACATCAAAAGGCATAGCCCGACTACAAACAGATATGACAAACAGTTATTCAAAGTCTGCATCAGATATTTGCTAGAAATGAGCTTACAATACATAAAAATGGCCTCTGTATCGACAAGATCTGTGTTAGATTGGAAATAGTTTGGTCAATAAACAGGCACTAATGAGAAAACCTGTATGTAAGTAGGATGAAATAAAACAAGCTTAGAAAGCTCCAGTGAATCTCATTGCATGACAGCCTTGTGAAGATGAAAGCAGTTCAATAAAATTCTCATTTTCACTTTTAAAGTCTAACAATCAAAGAGGTGATTCTGAAACAAAAACCTCACTTCAGGTTAGCTTTTGAGCAATGAAATGAGGCCAAGAAAACCAAATAATATTCTATATGACGCATTGCTTGATGGAAATCTTTTAAAAGGCTCACTCTTCTGTTTGCTTTATGTATCATCCTCTGTCACAGCGATCCTGAGCTCCTGAAATGCAAAAGTGAAGTGTTGATCTCATTAATGTTTTCCCAAATGCCCATAAAGATAAAGCCATTTAAAAATGACATATAATAATAACACTGGTTGCTGATAATACTTTATTGATCCCCTATTGGTGGGGAGAGTTTGTTTGTCCCAGCAAAGCACACAATAAAATTTTAAATAATTAAATAAACATACAAGAAATAACAACTAACACATATCGTTTAGAATATTTCTCAATATATAGCTATGTACATTTAAAATGCACAGCTCTAGAGACAATGTGTAATATAAAGTGTGAAAATAATAATAAATATGTTGCAGAAGTCACTTAATAATGTCTATTATTCCAAATAGATCAAATATTAAGATGTATTTGTGAAATTCCTGTTTTCCAAAAAGCACAAAATCACAATTCAACTTTGAAGTAGGAAAATAAAAACTTTGAGATTATTCTTCTTCTAGGTGACACAAAGGCAAAGCACAAACTTTGCTTTGCCTTTGCAAACACAAAAGTGTGTTTATTTACAACACACTTTTGTGTATTTACAACACACTTTTGTGTGTTGTAAATAAACAACACACAAAAGTGTGTTGTTTATTTATGTTGGTAAAGGTCTCTGGGTTTCAGTAGTTTGACTTGACTTCAATGTGTGCTGGTTAAAACAGAACGTCTGCTCTTTTCTTGTCAGCTGTCCAGGGGGTTTGTTGGTCCAACTCTCTCTGTGTGCGGCCTTCAGAGAAGAAAACTTCATATAAACTTTTGGTCCTTTTATTCCGGCTATCTCTGCTCAAACTCCCCCATTACTGACTGATTGTTATCAATGAGGAGACAAAGTAAAGCATATATTTAGGCTATATATTTGGTGTGTGTGTGGTTTTCTCTCTTTAAAAGTGTGCCAACAGCACCGTATCCTCACAAGGTTTCCTGGAAGCAGGGGACTCTACATAAATAATACCAAGATTTTGACTGAGTACATGAAGATAATCAGAGGGCGAAAGGCAAGGGAAAGGGATCTGACATGAGGGGGTGGGTGACAGGACAGGAGAGGGAAGTGTCTTTTGCTGATAAAAGAGGGAGAAGGTCGATTGTTCCTGCAGTTTTGGCGATAGCGCTGGAAGTCATTAAGATAAGGAGGATTAGACCCGCCACAGCGGCGTCCTATAGCTGCCACCACCTGAAGGACAGGAGGAGAGTGAAAGACCCCGGTGTGGAGTGGCGCGGCTGTCATTCCAGCTTTCAATGAAAAACTGATCATTGTAAAGTTTGGGATGATTGAACTTCTTATCATTGTCACTGTAGCTGTACACGAGGCTGAGTCCTTATAAACAGTGGAGCATTAAACATACGAATTGGCGAGGCTGTTTAATTATCGTCTCATGTTATCCACGATCAATTTGAAGGACTAAATTCTTTTACTTAATCAATACACCAAGCAACTTTTAGAGACATTCCTGCTTAATCACAATCAAAGGGTTGAATCCTCTCATTAGCTTGATATTCTGACTTTCTGTCTTGGTGAAGGGAAGCATCTAAAGGTTTCTCTAAAGGACTGGAGTTCGGCACACCTGCTATACGTACAGGAAGAAAAACTGATTTATATATCATAAAGATGTGTTTTTAAATCACAATTTTAAAGTTTCTCTTGAAATTGACTGTATTGGAGTTTTTCCACTTATGTAATCAACAATATACTCATTAGTAAATGCATGAATGTATTATTATTATTATTATTATTATTATCATTATTATTATTGTCAAGCTTTTTTTGTTAAATTTCCATTTTTAAGCATCTGTGTTGACAACCGTCCACATTATAAAAATACCCAGACACCAAAAAATAAATGTAATTTAATTAAAATTTGGATTTTAGATTTGAAATTATGGCACTGCAATAAAAGATGTATTTATTTATTTTAAGGACTTCTACAAGTGGAGGGTCTTTTCTCTGTTTAACAACACAAATATTTGCCAATATTGTGTCTTGGATGCTGAAATCAATAGCAGGCTTTGAAAATAAAACATCAAGTGACGCTAAGATTGTCAATGTATTTATTTCATCTCACTCCAAGCAAACAGAGACAAAAAAGGACACTAATAAACTCTAAATGGTTTTCATCCCCACAGTCTCTGAAGTGATTTATTCTTTCTTTTCAAACTGGCTGTTTGCGTGTCTTTTTCAAATAATTCATCCCCACAGGAATCAAGCACTGCCATGCTTGTGTTATGTCTGCAGAGTGGAGGTCCTGGTCACGCTCTGGTCAGCTGTATTTCAACATGTTGCTCGTTTATCTAACACAAGCTGATTTCCAACGTGAAGACGGACACCAGGAAGGATTCCTTGCATGAGGCTCGCCGATGTTAGCCTGGACCTCATTTTTGGGGGGTGGGAGGCTATTATGCCGGCAGGGTGCTTAATAGCCTTTGTGCCTGCTCTGAGGCCTGTTACACACAAGCAGTGAATCAGCTGAGAAGGAACACACCAGTTAATCAGTGCCTTTGTTTCAGGCTGAGGGAGAACAATGAATCTCACTAAACGCCACCATGTTGACATAAAGTGTGTAAAAACAACTAACACTGTCATGTCACACAGAC